GTAGTATTAATATGGATGAAAGCAACGCTATGTGGCTGCAATCCATCAAGTTTTGCTTTCCTTGTCAGTTAAGGGTTCAGCCTATTGATTGATTCTCTCTCTCTCTCTCTGTCTCTCTCTCTCTTCCCTTGACCGCATAATGAAAAAATAATAAAAATAAATGATAAGGAAAAGCCAAACAAAAATACAGGATAAAATTACAAGAAAACGCTTGGGCATATCTTAGAAAAAATAACCAACACTACAACATATAAGAGTTTTAAAAATTAAATATTTTAGTCTCTAAAAATAAAAATTTTATTACAAAAGATATTTAGAAATTAATTTTTATCGTTATGGGGATAGTCACTAAAAGATCGTCTCGAAAAATCAAAAACAAGACTTTTAAAGACACAAATTTTGAAAATGTCACTAATAAATAGCGATAAAATTTTGAAAATGTCATTAATAAATAGACTTTTAGAAACAAAAAAATTGATTCAAAAAAAATAATAATTCATCACTAATGTCTAATTTTTGTTACTAAAAATATAATAATGACACTTTTCGCAATAAAAATATTTGATTTCTAAAAATTAATTTTATCTTTAAATTTTAATCTCTAAAATTTTAATTTTTTATAATGGATGCCCAAACTAAACCAAACATACTGGAGAAAAAACACTACACACCACTACAATCCAATCAGTTATCATGGATGTCTAATTCTCATGAGAAGGTAAGAATGTCCAGCCAACTAAAACAAAAAAACTCGACAACATCAATCACTATTCACCCCAACCAAATTATAGTTAAAAAATTGGTCATTCAGATTCCATGACCAAAATTGGCTTGCCGTTTTTTTGCCACATTTCATCAAACAATTTACAAACAAATTATTGCATAATCAAGGACACCAAAAATCAAATTATTCATTCCATTCTTGCCCGTGGCACTAAACAGCAACATATAATTATTGGTAACATCAATACCATCCATATAACTAAGGGCCCATAAGGATGGACACCGTTTATTCAGGGAAACTGTAAGATAGTCAGTCAATCTCTTTTTGTATGGGTTCTATTTTCAGTATACAAAACGTTGCTCCATTGGATGCCAAACATTTTTTTTAAAAAAAAAATTATTAAGAAAATATTGAAAAATAAATTTGAAAAACAAAAGCCAACGAAGCTTGAATCAGAGAATATTCACCAGATCAGATCAGATCAAGGGATGAACTTTGCAGAGAGTCTACCAAACCCCAGAGAGAGAGAGAGAGAGAGAGAGATACAGAGAGAATTAACTTAACAGGTTTTGAGTTGAGATAGGTTCTGTTGGCTTTTTGGCTTTTCGAAGGGTATTTTTGTAAATGTGAGCGTGCCAGCAAGGATCAATCAGTCCTTACAGAAATTGTGATTGCCAACCAATTATCAGACGATTGTGTTTTAGTTCTTTTCAGCCTCAATGAAGAGGACTTTTACTGGTGGCTTGACTTAGGAGAAATTAAGAGAAATAACAGTAATATGAAGAACAATTGAAATATTTCATAAAAATGAACACTTACAATGGTCCAAACTCAGCCTCGGAGAGGTTTACAACAGCAATCTACTTGAATCTACTTGAAGCTACTCCTATTAATCGAAGTGCAGTGCAGGTATTTAAAGTGCGGGTATTTAAAGACTGGAAATGTAAAAGACTGGAAAAGAAAATATATGAAGTAAATGACTGATTTGTATGATCTGAGTTCCGTCCTCTCTTTTCTGGGGGCTGCCCTGCTATTTATACTCGTCAGTGATGACCTTCGAACTGCACTTCGAACCGTCGAACTGCTCCTCCATGATCGCTGATCATGCTTCCTTACAAGTAGCTCCATTACGCCATTACTGGCAGTTGAGCTTCCCTCTTGTACTTGAATTTGAATATGAGTAACCGTTGAAGATATGTCATCTTGCATCCCGTTATTGATCTAGTGTTACTCAGATCATGTAAGGACCAATATTTATTGCCATGTGTACGATCAGGATTAAAGGCTTGAATAACCTTCCTTTATTACCCTTACTCTGCCACGTGTCGAACTGTAACTGGCTTTTACAAAATATGTAGCCAACAATACCCCCCGCACTAATATACCCAATACTTGGCGATATTAGTGGATTACAGTTTTCCCGCGCCTCTAGATCGTGTATGGAGTCCAAATTCTGGAAATACAACCGTCATCCATTTGGTGATCATTTGCATTAACTCGTCGAACATCCCAATACCTTAGTATTCGAACAGGCTATGGCTGCATCAACTTCCCTTACTACTGATCAAGCATATGAAGAGCCTTTGAATACTTCCACCTTTTTAATGAAAGTAGCCATAAGTTGAAGAGGTGGTAGCCGAATTTATTCTAGGTTCTATTTGCTAAGTTTCTGATTGCAGCTTCCTTACAGGGTTGCAGAAAAGAATAAGGTATATTGAGCTAAAAAGTAATCTTATGCATACTACAAATATAGAGTTCTTCAAACCTTGTTCAAACACCTTACAATGTTACAAATAAAGTGAAATATATAACCCAAGAACTATTTTGCCACTTGTAGGCCCATTTAGAAGGTATAACTAAGTCAAGTAGTCTTATAGTTCTCCAATATCCAGTCAAGTAATTCCAACCATCAACGAATGTTTCCTGTAAGCTTCTCCAAATTGAAGAACAATCTTGGTCCAACAATGTATTTTGAGGCCCGAATCCATACCTGTTAGATCACCACTAGTTCCAAAAGTTTAAACGATTAGGGAAGATCCCCAATAATGTGTAGTAAGCTCTCAAATGCCCACCTTCATCTACAACCCATCTTGCACGTGGAGAGACAAACATACGAAACCAGGGAGCAAATTTAAATAGAGTGACTTGAACCCAAGACCCCTCCGAAACCAAGGCTATGATACTATGTTAGATCACCAGTAGACCCAAAAGCTTAAGTTGGTAGGAAAGAAGCTGACATGCAAACATTGCATGTCAATCTCTCCAACAACACCAATCCAAGATCTAGCAACAAAGGTCTGGGACATCATTAGTTTCTGGGTTGGGTCATAAATATATATCATGTTTGCTTCATATTTAAATTGGTACTATGGTATTAGTGTGAAAAGCTAAGCAAATAGTTGAGGATGTTGAACCACGTACGATTTATATATGATTGACTATTGCTTGTGATAATTTTGGTAAAAATCTTCAACATTTTGGATAGGTTCAAATAACGCCAACTTATTAAGTAAATGCTCAGCTGGTTATATTCCATACTTCAATCTTAAACACTGATTATTATCAATGCCCAGGACTCTTTGCTAAATACCATCATATTTCTGATATCTACATAGCTAAAGCATTATGCTTTGTTGCCTTAACTAATGAGGTGCAGCATTTAAACTCCCAGCTGGCTCTGCTCCAGCGCATGTATAAGGATGCGCGAGCAGAGATAAGTGTGCTAAAGGCGGAAAATAAGGAGCTGAAGCGGAAGGCCACCGTTATGTTCCGATTTGGAGGGCCTCCATATGCTGCAGTGGAGGAGCAGGGAGTAGTGATCATGCCCAGTGGAGTGGGAAATACGGAGGCAACACCGGCAAGGGCCGTCCAGGACGGAGGCAAGAAGAAGAGACCGGCGGCAGAGTAGCGAAGAAAAATCCCACTGTGGGTGTGGGTGTTGTGTTTGTTTTGTTTGTGGTTTTGGTTTTTTTTTTTTTTTTTTTTTTTTTGAGATATATATATTGTTAAACAAAAACAAATTGTGTGGATGGTAATTTAATAAAATATGATGGCTATGATTAAAGTGGGCTGATGGAGAGAAAAGGGCGAGAGAGAGAGAAAAATAAAGAAATTTAAAATAACGTAATGGAAAGCAAAGGATGGAGTGGGGAGAGCACCAACTAAAAGTTTTATAATAAAAAAAAATAAAATTGGGCGGTGGATGGGTGAGAGAGAGAGTAAAGGGCAGCATGATAATTTGATATAATAATAATAGTAATAAAAAAATAAAAATTTAGACCATCAATGAGAGAAACAGGTAGGTCTACTCTTCCTCTGTGGTTGGTTCACCACTGTTCTTGTTGTGTTTCCTCGCGTACCGCTGGTTCCCAAGAACTTAGGATTCATCCCTTTGGTGGAAGCGTGGCGGTGCTTTCTGGGTGTCTTGATCCCGTTTTTGTGAGCCTCGTAGGACTGGTTGTGAGCCGTGTGATTCTTGGACTGCGCCATCTCTACGTGTTCGCTGCTTGGCCCTGTTGAGTGGTTCGGCGTTATAGTGGAGCTTCCCTATTCTTGCAGGGCCGGTGCTTGCGCAACCTGTGCAGAGAAATTGGAGTCGGGTTCGGTTGATCAATCTGATGGATCTTGGCAATCCCAACGACAAGCCCTGTCGATACACGCGATGATGAGGTCGACGGCGTCGATGGGGTGGGTGATGATGACGGCGGCGACGGAGAACTCGAGGACGACGGAGGCGGCGGCGATGGGGTCGTGGAGGTCCCGGTAGGCGGAAGCGGGCTCGGAGATGGGAAAGATGAAGAAAGACAGTCGTGGTTTCAGCGGAAGCTCATGAAAACTGATACCCTGCTGGAAAGAGAGTGAGAGCTGTGGAGAGTTCCGTCAATGGCGGATTTTCGCAGTTGCAGAGTTGTGGAGATAGCAGCAAAGAAGAGCTCTCTGTTCTGCCACGTCACACCAAGGTCGTTGTGACTGGTAACAACCGGACCAAGGCGGTGCTCGTTGTCAAGAAGGCTGTTAGGCTCGGAGGGTGGCATTGGCTGCTTCTTACAAATGGCATAGAGGTAAAGTTACAAAGGAATGCCCTTAGTGTGATTGAAGCTCCTACTGGTAATGAGGATGATGATGAATCAAAGAAGAAAAAGGAGGGGTTTAGTAGCAGAGTGAATGTATGTGTAGAGGTCCGGCGGAATTATTAGGTTATCAACCTTGCTCTGATACCATGTAAAAATTAATACATATAGAAAGAGAGAGAACAAATTATGTATATAGAGAATTGTATAAAGAGATATAAAGAGAATTATTATTATTGATTGATTGATGTGAATTACAATTGGTGAGGGGTGCATTATATAGGAGAGATATAGGTGTAGTAGGTGAAGTGTAGTGGAGGTGGTAGGTTAGGTAAGGGGAGTAGGTGAGGTGGTAAATTCTAACACAGCTATTGGGTCCTGAAATCAATGAAGAAAGCAAAAGAATTGTCACTAGATAAAATAGAAAAAGTACTCTACAAAAACAGAAGTCAGTTGTGGAACTGAACACAATATATATAGACGAATAAGGTTTTCACAAAAAAAAACACACTAAGAGTATTAGCATCAACTTTGCTATACTAGTTTTGGGGCTATATTAGCTAGGCAATGTCTAAAACACTTGCATCAGACTAGATACAACAAAACAAATTTTGACATTGATCCAGTAAATCATTGATTTTTCGAATTAAAAACAAAAAAAAAACTTTTGCATTTTATATTTAGGACTGGTCTGGCATGTTTGAAAAAAGTCAAAAAGTCATTATCCTATTTAAATCACATCACCTCTCTAACACATCACTTCAAACCCAACTCATATTTTATAAAAAGTCAAAGAGTACACTTATTTAAATCATCCCAAACAACCCCTTAGTTGTGTGATTGGTTTCTATTTTTATAACATAACTAGGTTGTATGTGGATAGGATGACAAAACCTTATTAGACTGGACAAAAAATGAGACTGTGAACTTCAAAATTAGAATTTTAAATGGAAATGGTAGAATGCGTACTCCGTATCGTAAGAAGTTGTAAATTTTTGTGATGAAATAAATAAGTGTAGTTACAGAGAGTGTGTCGTAAGAAAATTCTTAATTACGACCTTTTACAGTTGTGTTATGAGTATTGTGATTTTAGTATTTTTTTTTTAAAGTAAAATGTAATAATTTTTTTGATAAAACTTGTATAGTCTAATCATAAAAAGAAAACCCATATACACATTTTTAAGGATATACATAATAGACATTCGCTTTAGGAATACATACATGCCAACATTTATATGTCCACTAACCAGGACAATTTTCATGTCATTTGCAGAGCCATAAAAGCTTCAAATCTAGTTAGTAGATGAAAATATTTGTGTGCAATATGATATCTTTAAAAGAGAATACCTGTATTAACCCCTTGACACAATCACTAGTGAGTTTAACTTGAAGATTAGGGTCATCAGCAAGCTTCAAAACTACATCCACAACATCTTTAGCAACAAAATCCTTATCGCCTGCCCTTCTAGCCTTATGATCATCAATCACATAATTGTGAAACTTGTCCAATTTCCTGTACAAAGCCTTCATTCGCTTCACGTAACCCTGCAAGTCCAAGAAGCTAAGCCACGGTATCCAATCTCCGATATTAAACACGCCATTAAGCAAAAACCACTCATCTACCATCTCCCGAAGTTCATCGAGCTTCACTGAGCTATCAGATTTGGATTCGCTAAAGTACTTGTCACCCAGTGCCATCCTGCTCACATTAGTAAGCATGAACCGGGCAAGATGTTCTCTAATGGCAACTTCCTTCCCCGAGAGGGCATAAAGGCGCGAAATAAGAGCGTGCAATTCCTCAACTCGGATATATTCATAGGTGTCGAGTTGCTTAGGGCTAAATAGCTCGTTGAGGTAGATTTTGCGTGCCTGGCGCCAGTATGGCCCGTAAGGCGCCCACGTCATGTCGCAAAAGTTATAGCTAGTGTACTTGCCAGCAGCGGTTGCAGGGCGGGAAGCAAAAGTTTTACCATGAGTTTTTAGGAATTGTTTCGCCATTTCCGGGGATGAGGCCACCACAACGGGGAAGGAACCGAATTTAAGTTGCATGATTTCGCCGTACTTTTTGGATAACAGGTGGAAGGATTGGTGGGGGTTGGAACCAACTAGGTTTAGGTTGCCGATGATCGGCCATGGTTTTGGACCCGGTGGAAGTTCTTTTTGGCGACGGTGGCCGAGATTGATGAGTTTTGAGAGGAGGGTTAATGTAGCTAGCCATGCTAGGGCTAGAACAGCCCAAGGAGGAGCAACCATTATTGATGATACTAGTTGTGGTTATGAAAGTTTGTGGATACCAAGCAATTTATATATAGAGATAATCATGGAGCAAAACACTTTTGATGATCATAGACACAGACTATTCAAAGTTCAATACTACTACGGCTTTCGTAAATGATTTCCATTTTGGACTATTAAGAATGTGATCTTTTGTTAATTCTTTTCTTTTGGGGATAATTGCGGAAAAAGTGGTAACAATACAAAAAAAAACTTATGACATTTCGCAATCATTTTTCTCTTTTAGTTTTTACTCTACTTTTTTGTTTTAATAAAAGTGAAATTAGTTTCAAATTTTTTAATTTTTTTAGAAATGCAAAAAAGGTGTTTTATTTTGTTTCCAAAACAAATTTCACTCACTGTTCCCTCCCTCCAACACCCACCGCTCAACCATCAGCAACCCTTTGATGATCTCCGACTATCTTCTAATAATTTATGGCCACCACCTTATGATATTGCAGTCACTCTGTCAGCCACCTCTCATCACCTTCCACCGCCGACTACCGCATAACAACTCACCAGATATATCTTTTTTTTTATTATTTTTAAAATATTTATGTATACACAAATTTTTGTTTTTTGTTTTTTTAAACTGATAAAGTTATCAAAGGAGAAACTATATACGTACAGAAAGTCTCGAAAGTGAAAAGAAGTTACCACTTGGTATTGAAAATTGACCCACTATTGCAAATATCTCTTAACCTAATTTATCACAACTTTTTTGGACCATTTTAATATGTTTTTTTTTTTTTTTTTTTTTTTTTTTTTGGTGACCTTTTTTTTTTTTTTTTTTTTTTTTTTTTTTTTTTGACCTTTTAGATCTTTGATTTTTTTAATAAATTTTTTAGTTAATACGTTTGGAAAGTAACAAAAAATTTGATTCTTTCTTAATGAAAATTTTAAATATTTAATTTTTTTAACTGATGACAAACAGTAATTTTTTGATTTTTTAAATGAGAAATTGGCTTTTTTCTTTGGTTGCCAAACAACCTATGTCCTAGAATTTTTTCTAATTTGAGATATTTTGTGAAGGAAACATATTGTCTCCGGTCCATGAGTCCGAACCGTTAATGATATGAAAATATTCATTTTGTCTGACTTTTGCATGTTATCATTTTTAAAAAATTAAATTTATTTAATAATTATAACAGAACTTGTAATAAACTTTACGAATCCAAACAAGACCTCCAATCCATATGGAGATTGAAGGGCTGCTAGCACTTTTGAGCACATGTGTGGAAAAAGCATGTAAACAAACTAAATTTGGCTTAGAAGGAAAAATATGTATTGATTGAGAGTAGACAGATATAATATGTCATCATGTCACATTCTCCTATCTAAAAATTATTGTTTGGTTTGTTTTATTTATTTTTTTATATTTTTTTCTTTATATATGAATAAAAATGTAAAGTATTTTTGAAAATATCTATATGTAAAAATAAAAATAAAAACACTAAAGAAAAAAAATATGAAATTTGCTGGCTTTATAGGTTTTTCTTTTGGCATTTTAATTTGTACTATATTATCAAAATCATATTTATTGTTTATTTTATAGAAAAATTAATTTTACAAACAAAAAATGAAATATCATTGATTTAATTTAAAAGTGAAATTTTAATAAAGTAAGAAGATAATAAAAAATTAATTGAAAAAAGCATCTATTTCGAAACAGCGAAATTTCAAACAAACCATGCCATATTGTCTCTGCTTTCACCGCAAAATTCCAAACAAATCAGGTCATGTTGTCATTGCACCCTAATTTTCTTTTCTTTTTTCGAAGCTTATCGGATTATTCCCTTAATATAAAAAATAAAAAATTTACAAAAAAATAAAAAATAAAAATGTATTGAATTTTTGAAGTGGGTACATCAGAATGAACAAGACCCAGATGATCCATTATAGTAATAATTTCATTAGTATATTTTTGTAAGTTTTTTTTTATACATAATTTGATCATACAATAAAAATATAATACATTCCAAGAAATCACAGTTTATTCAACTCCTCCATCATTTCCCTCAGTAAACAAACAAACAAATGAGTGGTCGTCATGCTATATAATGCTACCCCTTAGCAATACCCTATAAAACAAAAGAAAGTGTCACAAACTTTATGGATAAAAATAGAGACTCTCTTGTGTTAAAACTTATAGTAATGGTACGTATCATAAAAAGTCTTTCATGAAAATGATAATAAAAGATTTGTCATCTTTGGATTATATTTAAAATATAATACCACACATTAATTAAGGTAATCTAAAAATTATAAATCTTTCATAATTATTTTCATAAAAAAAATTTCATAATTCCTAACATTTCTCTAAAACTTAGGCCAAGTTTGGGAAGACTAAATAAGTGTACTTTTTGAATTTTTATGAAATATGAATTAGGTTTGGATTGGGTTTGAAATGATGTGTTAGAGAAGTGATGTGACTTAAATAAGATGATGTGATTTAAATAGGATAATGATTTTTTAAATTTTTTAAGAGCCGTCAAACTTGACCTTAATAGGGATGGATGTGTGATCTTTGACACTGACTTTTCCATTTTGCCCGAAATATCAGGAATGTAATAAGTATGGTCACAGAATTATTGGCCATCCACACTAGACAGGTACTGGAATGGGATTATTTATCTTTTTCTTATTGAAAATAACTCGTGTTACATTAATTTCACTCTCCTTCTCTAAATGCATATCACTTTCAATCCAAGCTTTAGTATCTAATTAACGAAATTCTTTTTCTTGAATTAGATAACAAATAATATCACGAGTTTAATCTATAACTTCACATTATAAATTGGACAAATTACAAATACACTCGATGAGATTTATTTAAAATACAAATTGCCCTTTATGATTTGAAAAATTATAAATACTCCTTTATTAGAATTTTTAATTTAACAGAATTAATTAAAAAAATAAAATTCATAATTGTTCTCCTATACAATAATAAAATTACTTAAATTATTAATTAAAACATATTTTTAACATTATTAAAAATTATTAATTGACTTGATAATTTATTAATAAAAAATGTTATTTGTTATGAAATTAAAAACCTTCGGTAGTGGAATGTAATTTTCAAAATCATAAAAAATAATTTGTATTTTAATCAAATCTGAAGAAATGTATTTTTAATTTACTCATATAAATAATGTTGCAGAGCCATTAAACTAAAACGCCTGGTTCGAGTTTGACACATCAAGGATTACTTCTTCTTTTTCATTAATTTTTGTTTTTTTAAAGTCGTGGAGTCTGATATTTGTTATTCACCAAAAGTTAGGACTGTCCTCAAATTTGGGGATTGGAAAGATTGTTGCACATCACACGGAGTAGTTACTGTTGTACAGTTAATGGATCTTTTGGTAGGTTTTCATTCAGGCGATCTAAATCGTTCACTTTTTAAAAGATATTGAATAAAATATATCTGTACAAATTTAAGTTAATCAAAGATCTGTATCCTTTTCATCCAGACATATTTGTATCTAAAAAATTTAATGGTAAATTTAATTTTAATTATAAATATGAATACAAACATGTCTTGATAAAAGAGATACTAAAATCTGATTAACTTAAATTTTTACGTGCATATTCTACTCAATATCTTTTAAAAATCTAATGAGATCTAAAAAGGACCCCATTAACTACACAATAGTCACTGCTACGCGTGATGCGCAGCAGCCTCCCCAAACTGTCAAATTTGAGAGCCTACCAACTTTGAATTGTAAATTATGCGCGGCGGCAACCTTCCCAAACTGTCAAATTTGAGAGCCTACTGGGGGTGTTTGGTGTAGCTTTTTTAAGCCAACTTATGGCTTCTGACTTTTAAAAAGTTATTTTGGACTGTTTGGTTAAACTTATTTCAAACAGCTTCTGATTCTAACAACTTATTTTAAGTCAAAAAAGCTGATTCTGAGAAGCTGCTCACCCCTTGCTTCTGATTATCAGCTTCTGCTGTGGACATGTTAATTCACGGTTATACTCTTAGATTTTTTTATTTTTTATTTTTTTAAAAATAGAAAAAGACTCAAATGGACTATTAAATATTATTATTATTTTTTATGAAAAATGTAGACAAATAGTGAATAATAAAAAATAAAAATTAATTGAAAAAGCTACTTCACAGCTTATTTAACAAACACTACTCAGCAACTTAAATCTATAATCCAACAGCTATACCAAACAGATTAACAGCTTCTGATTAAAGTCATAATCTATAATCTGTTAAGCTATAATCTATAATCTGTTTTAACAGCTACACCAAACAGCACCGATCTTGTTGGCTTTTTTGGCTTTCGAAGGTTATTATTGTAATTTTAAGCGTGCCAGCAAGGATCAATCAGTCCTTACAGAATATTAATTGCCAACCAATTATCAGACGATTGTGTTTCAGTTCTTTTAGCCTCAACGAAAAGGACTTTTACTGGTAGCTTTGTTTAGGGGAATTAAGCAAACAACAATTAAATGAAGAGCAATTGTAGCATTTCATTAAATAAAAATGAAAGACTTACAGTGATCCAATTCAGCCTCGTAGAGGTTTGCAGCAACAAATTACAGCCTCGTAAAGGTTTACAGCAACAAACTACTTGAAACTACTCTTATGAACGAAGTGTAGTGCCGGAATTTGAAATACAGAAAATGTAAAGAACAAGAAATGTAAACTAGAAGGGAAATAAAGAAGATAAAAATTGGTTCTTTGGATCTGAGTCTGGGGTTTCTTTCTGGGGCCTTCTCTGCTATTTATACTTCTCAATGACAACCGTCGAAATGAGTTTCTAACCATCAAATCATCCCTCCATGATCGCTGATCATGTTTCCTCACAGTTAGCTCTACTACGCCATGTCTGCAGTTAGGCTTCCCTCCTGATTTTGAATTTAAATATATGAGTAACTATTAAAGCTACATCATCTTGCATCTCTTTGCTGATCTAGTGCTATGCAGATCTACAATAACCAATACTAACTGCCACGTGTGTGATTACGATTGAAGATTTGAATTGTCTTTCCGTATTGCCCTCATCCTGCCACGTGTTGAACTATGATTAGCCTATATAAAATATGTAGCCAACATTACCTTCCACACTAATATACCCAATACTTGGTGATATTAGTGGATCAAGGTATTTTATCCACGTCTTAAAATGTGCATGGGCTTTGCATTTTTCAGAAATACAACCGTCATTCATCAATGTACATTGGCATTTAAGTCTCTTCTATCCTTTGAACATTCCCACTATCTCAGTATTCGAAAAGATTAGTTCAGCTCTCATGGCTAAGCAGACCTTTTCTTACCTCGATCAAGCATATGAAGAGTTGTTTGATAATACTGTTCGTCCTCGAAAGAACCTTCATGCATTGATTAGCCACCTTTACCCACCTTCCTATATTCAAGTCATGGAAGCTTTTGCAAACTATCAACCTTTGGATTACGAACCTATCGTCCACAATTCTTTAATCCAAAATTTTGTAAACATGGATATTGGAAGCTATTCCTCTGACCCAAAACCTTCTGCGTGGGATAAGGCTATAGTTTCTTCCTCTTCTGGGGCTTGTAGTTGGAGAAGCTGGCCAGAACCTGAGGAGTCCAAGTTAAGAGAGCGAATCAATCATCATTTTGTCAAATTTGTTGATCCTCTAACTTTTCCTTCCTTTGCTCGGAGTTTGGTGGTTTACCCATATGTACCCATTGACCGACGACACCACTTGAAAGACAACTTACTTGTAGTATGGTACACGTCTTCCATGCCTACGAAGATAGTACAAGCCACTCGTCGTCCAGAAGAGGCTCAAGGGTATAGTCCGTCATTCTTAGCCCAGAAGGCAAAACTTTGCTCTTCTAACTAGCTTGATATCGTCAACAACTCCCAATTTCCTCCTTCTTTCGAGATAGAAGCTCTTGTACATCCTCTTCCACAAAATCCTCACTGGATGGAGGAATTGAGACTTACTCTCTTTGAGGACCAATTTCTCCCCTCCTATCACCCTCCATCTCCCCCTACTAAATATCAGAGACATCAAGCCCAACTTCTGCTTGCGGTCTTTTTTCACTTGCCCTTCAATGTTCTCGAGGACGATGTTCCTCTCAAGAACTTTCGATGGGCTTGTGATGTTATGACCCGGGGTCATGCCCTCAACCGCATCACCCAAGCAGAGCTCCAGTTGTTTTTAGATCAACTCCCACTGCTTCTTCATTGGCATCACATTTCTGTGGCCACCACTTGATCTTTGGACCAAATCTCAGCTCGTCGAGTTCATATCCGGTATGAAGTAGAGAACCTCATCGATGAATATGATGATTTCAAGAATAAATACTTTGCATACTGGGATGACTTGGACGTGGATGAGATAGAACAAGGGTTGAAAGAAACAGAGTTTGAAATAAGGGCCGAAAAACTTTTTTTATCAAGTAAGAGCATATCAACTTCAGCAGCCTAGCCTGGAGAAGATAGAAGATAGAGTAAGAAAAGAACAGAAGTTCATTTGGAACAAGTTCCATGACCTTGTCATTTATTCTATTCCTTATTTTTATGAACTTGAATATGTAGCCAAGCAAGCTTTCTGATGTAATTACTTTCACCTTAATAAAACTAAGTTTTCCTTTCTTTATTCAGCATGGTCTGACTTTATTCTGTTCGCCCAAAGCAAACAAAATCGAAGCTTCGAATTTACCAATTTTGTCCTTTGAAACCTGATTTGAACATTTCCAATGGAATACTGGAAACCTAATTTAAATTTCCCCAACATATGGAGTGTAATTGACAATCTTTGCCTTAGGTCTTCTCATTCCAATCATATGGTTACCACAATCAACAATTGTGAATCAACTATTTTTGCTTCGAACAAACAGTCTACATTTTTCGAAGTATGGAAACTTCCCTTAAGGATTGCACTGTTTTACTCTAAAAGAGTGAGTCCCTTTGTGTCCTTCACTGCTTAACCAAATATTGGTTTTATGTCACCCTTGTGAGTAACTGTTTAAGCCATATCACCTTATATCCCTTGATCATTCCAGTGCTATGTGGACCCATTATTACCAGTATGGGTTGACACGTGTCTGATTATGGTTAGCACTTTGCATTACCTCCCCAAATTGCCCATTTCATGCCATGTGTTGAATTGTGATTTGCTTATACAAATTATACAGCCAACATTACCCTCCGCACTAATATACCCAATATTTGGTGATATTAGTTTTAGAATAATGCTTGGGACCCCCTTTTGGGGGTCACCCCCTCACCCCCCTTTGCCACGTGGCGGGTGGTGATTGGAGGAGCAGGAAAAAAAAGAAAAAGAAAAAGAAAATGTAACCAATGAGAGAGAGAGGGGGTCAAAGGGGGTGGGAGAAAAAGGGGGATGAATCATTGTTGTTTTTGGAAATATTCATAAATTTTATGGGAGACAACTGTACGTTTATACAAACAAACAAACAAAAAAATCATTCTGAAAATTGTACATTTGGATCCCTCTTGGGGAGTCAAGCTCAGGCATCTGCAGTCGTCCTCTCCCCCATCTAACTCATTGGATACTATACTATAACAGCTATTAGGGCTGCTGTCACTCACTTCTAAGAATAAAATTAAGGCAACAACCTATAGTCAAGAGATCGTACCTTGAAGCGGCTTTCTCGTGCGCGGCTTCTCTCTGCGCGCACTTTTATCTTCTACGGATACAGATAGTACTCTTAGAGGCCGACCCAATACGAACGACCATTGCTGTTGTGAATAGGAGATGAGCTGGGAGAAGTCACGCACCATTCGTACCAAACCTACATTGCATTCAGCAGAAAACAAAACTGCTTTCAGAAATCAACTGCCAGAGAAGGGAATGAGCGAGATACAGTTTTAGGCTAATTAATTAAACAAAGCTAATTAACTCTATGAAGCCATGCAATGAAATGTTTTACCTTAGTCGAACCACAACAACGCCAAATGTGAAATTCTAAAGGAGAACCGGGTGGTACTTGCACTGGAGTCCTCAACGGGAAAAATATTGGAAACCTGATTTCAGAGGAAGAAGCAACCACCAAAATGCTGTCATAGCAAGGAAAGAGCCGGATTCTGACAATACTCATATATTACACAGGTTAATGAAACAATCTAACCACACTACATTCAACATGCAAGCTAACCCCTCATAAGCTATAAGCATAGACACTTTTAAGAAGACTGTGTGTCCGTGCCCAACATGTGACAATAAGCATCCAAGCATGCTTCTAATTTTTTATTTTTTTTAAAATTAGACTTGGACATGTTTTGGATACTTGGGGGGCACATGTTGATTGCTTAGATAAACATGGAACACATTACAAGTTTAAAAAAAAGACGACATAAGATCTAATGTAAATTTATACTTATTAATAAGCATCACTTTGACTCTTATATTTTCTTCACAGTAATCGTGTCCACTGGTTATGATGTTTGAAGCAGCTTTTTTTTAAACAAAATTGTTGAAGAAGCTTGGATCCTCTAATTTTATATATGTTTGTAGAAGATAACATGTGCTAGTAAAGAAATATTTCTTGCCTCACATAAACGGGAGATAGAAATTTCATGTTTTCCCTAAATCTTATAAATAATTTGCATCATCTTATGTAAGAGAGTTATAAATATGCAACACATTCAGGACATGTACTTTCTGGCAATTAAGGTATCTGCCAGCTGAATTACCTTGTACATTCAAAACAGCAAAAAAACACTGCACCACAATGCATTGAGCTTGAAGCTGAATTATCACATTCCATGAAGTACATACAAGAACAATGCACCATGAATCAAAAGGCAATTCCAGCAAAGAAAAAAAAAATCATACCAGCTGAACATGTTTGGCGTTGCTGTTGATGGCTCAATACCAAGATGGACATCTTTGTAAAGTGTTGCATCAAAATAGCCAGCAAATCCTATTAATCAGGTGTAAAAAAAATCTTGTAAAGTGACAATTTGAATTCTCAGAAACATTATATAGAAAACTAAAAACGGCAGAGAGAGAGAGAGAGAGAGAGAGAGAGCAACGAATGTCCTGTAGTTGACAGCAGTAAATGTCAACATAAACCTATTTAATATTGGTCCCTAGGATTCTCACACACCATGCCTCAAGAAATTCATCTCAGTGAGATCTGATTCATTATTTTTTATATTGACAAAATATGACCGAACAAAGTGGCAGAACCAAAAGAAAGTTGTTGGACAGAAAAATTTAGTAATATTCACATTTTGGATCTCTATTGCAGTGGAACTGTGATACTAAGTGCCCACAGTGTAGCCTGCTCTCTATTCCTTTTCCATTAGCTGCTCCTTCGAGACAATCAGTTTCAACTACCATCACTGTTATTCGAGAGTACAAGCCTTACTAATAGAAGAATACGTGCAATCCTAGTATCCATTAGAATGGCCCCACAAACCATACTTTTCTATGTTCCTTGAAATTTTGGCAATACCAATGTCATCCCATGTCTGTGTTACATGGACTCGCCGGTTTAGGACAAAGTACCCGTGTCGACACGACACGGGTGCGAGATACGTGTCGGATTTGGCATGGTTTTCTCGGACACAGCTGACATGAGAGGAGAAAGAAGAACGGTTGTTGAGAGAGAGAGAGAGAGAGAGAGAAAGAGGGGGGGAGGGGGTTGAAACTCACCTTTGCAAAGCAAGTCGAGTCGCGAAGCAAGATTGAAGCACGAACCCTAGTCGCAAACTAGACCAAATCTAAGGAGATCTGAAACCAACATCTCAAAGTCTATCCCACCCAGAAAATGACCCTTAGGGCTTCAACTCCCCTTTGGTCTCTCTCTCTCTCTCTCTCTCTCTTTTTTCTTCTTTGACACTGTCTTCTCTTCCTCTCTGTTCTCTTTCTCTGCTTTCTATTTATAAATGATATTAATATAATAATATATAATAGCAATCATATTATAATATTCACTCAAAAAAATATTATATAAAATAATATATCATAAATGATATAATTTTTATGTCTAAAATAAAAATAATTTATTTTATCATATATATTATAATTTATTTTATGTCTAAAATAATTTTTATATATTATTTATATTTTATTTGTTATTTTTTTTAACAAAATTTGTTATTCCTTAACTTTTTTTAACTCACCTCATCTTCATATAATAAATATATTTAAAAAAATAACTATTTAACGTATTCCCATACCCATATCCAAGTTTGGATTCATATCCATGTATTCCCAATTTTTAATTTTGAAGTGTCCGACCCCTAGATACGCACCCGCACCCGAGTCCGTGTAACACAGTCCCATGTTCCTAATTCCAGTATTCCAACATATCAATCAAGAACTACACATGTAGGAATGAAACTAATTCCAGTTTCCCACAGTTCTCTAGGTGACATGGATATTTTGATTTAATAAAATATTCACATACATATTAGTTTAAAACAGGGACAAGTTGTTAGAATTTACCACTCACCTACTACCTCCACTATCTTTCTCCACACCTACCACCTCCACTATCACACACTCCACTACCATCCACCTCCACTATCACACACTCCACTACCATCCACCTCCACTATCACACACTCCACTACCATCCACCTCCACTATCACACACTCCACTACCATCCACCTCCACTATCACACACTCCACTACCATCCACCTCCACTATCACACACTCCACTACCATCCACCTCCACTATCACACACTCCACTACCATCCACCTCCACTATCACACACTCCACTACCATCTTCTCCTCTATATATAGGAATTGTAATATACAGAATAATATTAATCTTGTAATACATCAATCAATAATAATACATCAGTTATTTTTACAGAAACCCATTGGTTTTATTCCATTTTTGTTCACTTTTTTCACCTCTGGAACTTGATTTTCAGCACTGTTTTTGTATTGTTTTAGTGCTTTTTAATGTGTTAAATTATGCTAGCAATCACCTCTCAGGTCGCCTTTACTCAGTCCACCTCAAGCACAGTCACTTACTCCTATAATGGCTCGGTATCCATCATCATATTTGGAGGAATTACTAATTTGCCTGCAGCAGTCAGTCGACTCGCTCCAGCATGATATGTCCCGTCAAGCCGAGGTTACAAATAGGTTGCAACAACAACAACTGCTTGTTGCGGCTTCTGCTTCATATATACCTAACGTGGCTATCCCTATGCCCGATACCACTGCCAATGCTGCTGCAACTCAGGATCCATTAGCCGAGGGTGTTCCGGCTTTTCCCATCTAGGCAGATCCAATTCTAGTTCAAATGTCTAGAGCTCCAGTTTACCAGATTGAGGCACCTTTTGAATTTGAGGTTGACCCGACCATGCTCAAAGTCAACAAACTTGAAAAACTATTCAAGAAGGCATAGGGGGTTAACTCTATTCCGGATATTGAGGACGGGTATACTGAGTCTGCTGTTACCCTACCAGAACAGTTTAAAATGCCGCACATTGATCACTTCGATGGCTCTAGAGATCCAATGGTACATCTGCGTCTATTTTCTGATATCTTACGACCAATGGGTTTGACCAGAATTCAGAAGTTATCACTCTTCGGTCGAACCATGTCTGGGATAGCTACCATCTGGTATGCTAAATTAGAGGACTCTGTGAAACAGAGCTGGAAGGAGTTGGCCGAGTCTTTCGTTGCCCAATAATCCTACAATGCGTAGATCAAGGTCACAACTCGTGATCTTAAGGCAATGCGTCAGGAACCGAATGAGGGTTTCTCAGAGTTTGTAACTATGTGGAGGGCCAAGGCATCGATGATGACCACCCGACCCTCAGAAAAAGACCAAATTCAGATGGTTGTCGAGAATCTTCACGGCAAGCTGTTGTAGAAGATGATCATCCTCTCTTTGTTCACGTCAAGGAACTTCATGAAATGGGAGTTTAGATTGAAGACGTGATGAAACAGGGTATCATCATAGATGACAAGGCCAAAAGGCCTTTTTTCATGGGTCCGACAAGACTTTGTAAACTGTCCCGACATTGATTCCGGTTAGCTCCTTTGTGGGTCCGACAAGACTCTGTAAACTGTCCCGACATTGTTTCCGGTTAATTTCTACATGGGTCCGACAAGACTCTGTCAACTGTCCCGACATAGATTCCGGTTAGTTTCTACAAGGGTCCAGCAAGACTCCGTAAACTGTCACAACATTGTCTTCTACAACGGTCCGACATGACCCCATAAACTGTCTTCTACATCGGTCTGACACCACCATACGGTGTCCTCTACATGGTTCTGACACCCCCATACAGTGTCCTCTACAACGTTATGACACCACCATTCAGTGTCTTCACCAATGGTCTGACACGACCATACAGTGTCTCCTATCCTTTTTTATTTTTATGTATTTTCTTGTTTTGTTCCTCTCTTCAAACTCAAGTTGGTTAGTTTCTATCCTCCTTGAGTTTGCGGGGGGCTGTTAGAATTTACCACTCACCTACTACCTCCACTATCTTTCTCCACACCTACCACCACCACTATCACCCACTCCACTACCATCCACCTCCACTATCACACACTCCACTACCATCTTCTCCTCTATATATAGGAATTGTAATATACAGAATATTAACAATCTTGTAATCAATATCAATCAATAATAATACATCCACTACCATCCACCTCCACTATCACACACTCCACTACCATCTTCTCCTCTATATATAGGAATTGTAATATACAGAATATTAACAATCTTGTAATCAATATCAATCAATAATAATACATCAGTTATTTTACACAAGTCTTAGGCAACCACATACCATGAACCAAGGCTGATCCAGTGTCATTGGGCATCTCAAACTGAAGCTTCATATACCGCTGATTGCTTCTTGTAATTGAGTACTCTGGATGAGTAAACGTAAAGACCTATACCAGAGTACAAAACCACAAGCAGTTTCCCACAGGAACCAATATTTTAAGTTCATAAACCACAAGTTTGAAAATCCCTGTGAAATTGTTATCGAAGGAAAAACTCACAGGCTGGGAGGGTGCAAGCCTTGCAACACGGTGCAGTTTGACAACATAAGCAGTTTCAAAGTGCACAAGATCTTTGTGTGACTTAACCTGTAACATAACAAAAAGCAGTTCATTTCAAATGCTTAGAATAGGAGACATTGACGCATTGGAATACACAAAGACAAAGAATTTACATCATTATACAGTTTTGATGTTGTCACTGGTTGAATGAAACTTGTATACCTGATGAAGGCATAGCAACCAAAAAAAGCACGTGAGTACGAAAATATAATCAGGCATTTGACTGCCAAAATTCGAATTGGTTTTCTAAAACAAATCTAGAGCAGGATTAAGGAGAATAGAACTTTCAAGAGATTCAAAAAACCACCCAATAAGATGTGATGTGATCCAAATTCCGTAAATGCCTGAGCTCAAGTCACTCACCAGAGACGGGGTCACTCATAGTGGAATTACTCCTCCAAGGATTCTATATTCAAAAGTAAATGACATATCATCTAATGTCTCCAATTAATTTAGTTAATCATACAATTTTTGTGGAAGGTTGGAAGGAAGTCATTCCAGATAACAAAATTGGATTTTCCCTCCTCTTACCAGCACAATACTGTGCTATCTATTGAGTTAATATTTTTCTGTCTACTACTTTTCAGGCTTCAGAAAAATAAACAGCTTCTATCGCTGCTCCTGGTATTAGAAACAAGTTTCATACGCCAAAGTAAAGGAAAACACGTTCACTTTCCCAAAAAAAACCTTTTATTTTAATACCTAACAAAAAAAAAAAATCGAGTAAGCAACAGGAGTGGCAACTGCAGCAGAGTTGAAGGAAAACATGTTAACCATAAAACCATAAAATATATATTAAGAAAATGACACATACGATGATGGAATTGATATTCCATCTGGCTTCAAAAATCTTTGAGCTCCATCAAGACACTCAGGTGACAGCTCATTGTCACCAAAAGAACCCAGCAATTCACTAACCTGCATTACAAGGACAAAAGAGAGGAAAAAGTAAGCAGCTGAAAATGAGAAGAAAAATGTAAGAAAGATTTTCCACATGATTTTCCATGTACCAAAATGTCCGCTTTCTCAGGAGCATCCCAGCAACGCATGTCACAAGAAACTATGGTAACCATATTCTCCCAACCCTCTAGTTTAACCAGGCTCTGTTGCAACAAATTTACAGTCATTTCACTGCAATCCTATATTTAAAATAAATAAATAAAAGAAGACGAAGAAGAAGAAGAAAGTAGAACCAAAATTTTCTGTGATGTAACAGTAGGCCCAAAACGAGGGTCTAGTTTTACTCGTGAATCTTTCTTCAACTAATTTTATTCATGAATCCTGGGTTGAATTGGTTTACGTGCTTTCACAGATAATTGGGTCTAATTTCTAATCCAACAAACACAGTGCATTGTTGCTGTCTGGAGATGGCAGCAGGGGTAACTTTTGAAATTGATATAAATTTTTTGGTGTTGAACTAACTTGCAAACCCTAGACCAGTGTAAAAGCCTAAAAAAGTCTAGTTTCACAAAAATTTCAGTGGTACAATATTTGCATGCATAACAAGAACCACACCATCAAATTACATTATAACAAGGCACAATAACAATCAGATTCAACTGATTGGATTTGACAACTTACATGAAGTGTGACAACTGCATTTGGATTTTTCTCCACTGCATAAACTCTCAACTTCCGTCCAGTTTCTTCAGCTGCCTATTATGAAGATAAGAAAAGCACAATAAGGTTTTTAACAAAAAAGATCAAAGTTGCAATAAAAGCAAGCAGCCCCTTTCAGAAACATAAGCCACAACTACTATGAAAAAACTAGAAAGCAAAGTAGTGCAAGCACGACTCCCAAGGAATTGAGCATTGATGTATGTACACTAATTATGACATCCTAGATGTTTAAAATAGTTTCTTTTATATACATCTATGAGTGTGTATATATAACCAAAAACTTTTCTAACACAGGTCGAACATGTAATTAGTGACATCTCTCTTGATTTTCCCTTTCAGGGAAGTCGACATTTTAGCATTTAGCATTTATGTAATATGTCAAATCCAAATTTTGTGTTTGCATCCATGTTCATCTCCATGCAACATAGACATAAGAGTAGACCTGCAACGATGCTCTAACAAGAGGTCCACGTCCAGCTCCCACAACCATCAGTACCTACAACACGAGAACAGAAGTGTCATGACCTTCACAGTCAAACTGCAACACATGCCATAATTGCTGATAAGATATTAAAGACAACGAGAATGAACTCAGCTATACTTTATTCCAACACATATATCTGAGATATAATATCAGGGATTATCACACAGCTTACAGTGGTTATCATAGATGCTTCTTCATCTGGGACCCTGTCCATCAAAGCTTTGGAGACTGCTCTTTGATACTACCAAAATACAAGTACAAGATCAATACTAAAAAAAACAAAAAAAACAAAACTATTGACAGCAGCAAACAGTTGCCCTTTACCACTACAGCAAAACAGTATCTAAGCCATAAAATATTAAAAAACGTGAGCAATATGGAAGCAAATAGCCATTAGAAATTAAAAATAAGCATACAATTTAGGCAGTAATTATACTTGATTAAATACATATATGCACACTGAACACTACGCCATGACTTCCACCTAAAAAAAATCTAATTTGTTTTAGATGAGATATAAATTATCTAGATTCTAGATTAATCAGAAGGCATACCTGGATATATTTGGCACTATCCTTCTCAAATGTTTCGTATGTTTGGGCCTCTAAATTATCCATGAGAGGCTGCATTCAGAAGTAGGAAACTCGACATGTAATTATAACAACAGTGAGGGAAGCGTCACAATGGATAGGAATGAAAAGTTCATCATACTAAAAAAGTTGCGAATTAAACCATGAGTTTACATAATAAAACATACTTGCAAGGGCGACTGTAAGAAATCCCTGTAACCAAGCTGCCATAAGAGAAGAAGATCAATAGAAAGATAATATAAAACTCCCTAACCAGTTTGAACCAAGAAGAAAGGAGAGAAAGGCTACCTCAAAACGTTCTTGTTCAGGAAGAGGATCCATCCTTTGATATAGATAAGCAACATAGTCTAAATATGGCCGTAAGGGATGTCTCTGAAGACCTGAATGAAAAACAAATAAATAAAACCTATGAACTATAAATATACAACACAAACTCATTAAAATCAAAAATAACACCAGCAGAGTATAGTGAAACATGAACCACAATTACACACTATTTATCAACAACAAAATTTTATCGAAAATCAAAGGAGAAAAAGAACAACAAAGATGAAAGAGACAAGCAGTCCACCAAAAATAAAAGGAGGCAAAATAACAAGTGACATATAGCCTTCCAATCACTAAACATCAAAAACAAAGGAATCACCTTAAAAGGAGACGACACCCAAACACAAAAACAAGATAAATAACAAATCTTACAAGTAACTACATTAAAACTAGAAGGGAATGTTGCCCATAAACATATATATAAATCTTTAACACTAGTTGTAACATGATAAAAAGATAGAGAAGTAAGAATAAGTGCTGAACTCTTCCATTCAAATATTTGAATAATTTATGCCAAGTTTAATACGGCTTAAACAATATTAACCACCAGCCTTCAGTACCAATTACCACCCCAGTCACCATCACCAACTTACCGTCAATGTGATTTACAGCCAACTCTGAACTTCCTGTGGGAAGGCTGTGCTCTGGTTTCCCAGAAACTACTGCCTGAGGAAGACATTGCAAAAGAGAAAGATCAGCATATATTGCGGAATGACAATGCCATGTAGAAAATCATAAGAAAGAACAACTTTTGTTTCTGCAATAGGCCTCAATTAATCACCTACTATGTCTTAAATTATTGTGAATCTATGTTATAAGGACTCAAGTATGGGCATTAAGTGCCGGTACGTATACGTGTCAAACTTATCTAATTCACAATCCCAATTTCATATTTATTTTATTTATTAATTATTCATTAAAGGTAAAATATGTTACCAAAACATGGCTTTTTTTACGCATATGATGGGAGTTTTATGCATAGTTTTGTAGTAAGCTCTACAAATTAAACATATTTGTTGGGCATGTCCAACTAGACATGTCAAAAACATATCCCATACCTTAGTGACAAGTGTACGGCAGAGGCACTTGACAAATTTTAAATGGTACAATGGAAAAGATGCAAAAGAAAGGAACGAAAGAAATTTTATCATTTGCGCCATCATATAAAATTGGAAATGAATCAGAAAACTATTGGAACATTCCAGCTACAAAGAAAAATCAAACATCACAAAATCTGCATTGCAGTGAATGGCCAACTACTAATTTTGTTTCAATTAAGCACCCTAACATTATATACCTGAAATGACAGATTCTGAATACCGACTCCTTCCCCCACCCCCACAAACAAAAAAGAAGGAAAAGAAAAGAAAATAGACTTTGTGCAGCAAGAAACATTGCCACAGAACAAAGAATAGAATATAGATATTTATATGACAGTTGTCAGTTATCCCACTGAATTCCCAAAAATAATGTTAATGTACACCTAAACCTACTCCACTAAACCTAACCCACTACACCACTCCACCTCCAATTCACCTACTCCACTACACACTCCACTTCACCTACTCCACTATACACTCCACTTCACCTACTCCACCACTCCACCTTAACACAGTAATCATTGAAAACATAATTTTGAGATCCAAGTGTCTCTTCAGCACTAAAATTTGATATACAGAAAATAACAACGCTACCTGTATTGAATGGTTAAAAAACACAGACAACAGCTTTTGGTGACGCTTTGACAGACACGGATATCCCCGAGCATTTGTTAGAAAAGACTGGCAAATCAACAGTCACAAATGTGAGTGTCTGAGTCACAAAGACTGCATGCAATACTACTTAAGCTTAGAAAAGGTATAATCGATAAACCCTTTACACTGGTATGAATTATGGCTGCTCTAACAGATTCCCCAAACCATCTTCCAATTGAATTTGATGAAGGCAGTGAACTCCTAATGAAAAGATTGGTCACGTGTCAAACCATAGAATTACTGGTGGTTATGGAGTACTGACCACTGAAACTTCACATCATTTAAGCACTTCTGCATTCAAAGAAAGATAGATAGATATGGGTAGGGATCCATTTACACCTGCTGTAAGACATTTTTATTCTTACACACATCTATAACATTTTGTGCAAGCCACCTTTCACAAATCCTGCCGATGGATTTCATGCTCATCTTTTGTCATTCATGCATGCCAAGCATTAGATCAATCAACAATTGAAAAAAAAAAAATTAGGCTACCCATACACTTGCATTTTGTGTATAATATGACTATATGTATGAAAGCGATACGGATTAGAAAACTCTTGACCTTCAATTTAACTGAAATTTGGCAAGATTGAAAGGTATAAGATAAGCGTGAAATACAACGGTAGGATTTGTGAAAGTTTACACACAAGTTACGGAGGGGTGTAAAATAAAAATTTTACACTAGGTGGAAACAGATACGTCTCCTATATATAAATTAATGTTTATATATACTCACAAAACATCAAGGGCAATGGACAACTGACTGTGATGTTCACATAGAAGACGGAAGGAATTCCATGTTTCCCAAGAATCGACCTGTCCTCCACTCTGTTAGGCAAAAATAGAAGGGCTTGTAAAGGTAAAACTGATATTTATTACACAGTTATCACAACAATTTCTAATCTACAGACGCTTCACACCATACCACTTAAAAGTTCTTTCAATGGATTAATTAGAAAAATACTAATCCGAGAAACAGGAGAAGAGCGAGGGCAGATTTTGATCAATTAATCACAGGCTCTGAAAATTAAGGTTCAGAAATTGATCATTCTATTTGAGAAACCGTGAACCAACACAAGACAGAAAATCTTGTTAGGCCAAAAAAATACACACTTCAGGATTCAAAAATTAATTGGACAGGCAAAGAAACTACAAATGATCCAGCCATAAGAGCGAGGCATAACCCCAAGATGACAGGAAGCAATTCCATGACAAAATAACTTTCCATTTGCATATGCTAAGTTCAAACAAATCAGAAAATTAAAACGCATGCACTCCAGCTCTCCACCCCTAATAAGCAAGATCAACTTTGGGTGGTGGCATATTTCACATACAACAAGTTCAAACTGCAACAGCTCGACTAAATAAACATTTTCAACTGTAGATTTGTAAGCAATATGATTCAACTGCAATTGCGAAAGTAATACTCACCAGATGATCAGAGTTCCCATTCATAGCATCATTATCAGACTTCTCCAATGGAATCCTAAGCCACAACTTTAATATGGAAATAAATAATAAGAACGAAGACTACACAAAAGGAGAGACAATGTAAGACATGAAGCAAGACTCAAATAGTGGATGCGTGATATATGGTTTAAGATTAGCACCTGCATGTTGGTCAGATTCTGTAGAATCTGATTCACACACCTAGCATAATTAGCACAGGATGCTCCTTTAGGAGTAGGAAGAAGACAAGCCTGCAGGAGAAATGCAAATAGTGAAAACAATAAGCTTCTTATGCAACGATTGGAAGAGCTGCAGTGCAAGAACACAAAATAAAACACGGCATTTTTATCATACAAATTAAAATCATCATATAAGATGCAAAATAACCTCCCATGAATTGTACTTGCTAATGTACCTACCTAGAATAAAAGGCATTGATTGAATACAAATCAAAAGGACAGTGGGTTGAGGAAATGGCACTCAACACTGAGCACCATTCAGGTCATGTTTAAGAAGTTCATCTGTGTAAGCAAGGCATCCTCCCATTCTTTTTTTGCTTACATCACAATTTTAGAGGGAGAATATAATAAAGATTAAAACCAAAGTTCACAGTTTATAAAGCAAACATTTTTATTCATATGTGTTGTGCCACGAAACAAAGAGAAAACTGTCCCCAGTTATATACACTGCCAAAATTTCTCTGCAAAACCATTTAAATTATAAACACACCTGTAAACAAATATTTTTATTCATTTAGCAATATGACATAAGATGGGCCAGTGTAAAAGAACATTTTCCCAATTTTACACCACAAAAAATATTCTGCAAAATCATTTAAATTATACACACCTGTAAAGAGAGATGACATGCCCAAGCTATTTCTTCCTTGAGAGCAATTTCAGAATCCTTTCTGAGTATCTCATCTTCCGAATCCAGGTCAATCCATGAGCTAATTTTTCCTGGACCACATAACGGAAAATATTAACTGAGGAAATTAAACAGTGGTATAAAAACGCGTGCAAATGCAAACAAAAAGATACAAAAATAATAATAATAATTTAATCAATATCCATATGGTAATTTCATGATAAAGGTATCAGATTCTTGAAGATCAAAGGAACAATTGTCTCACGCCAACCAAGAGCATGCAGGTCCATGCAAGAGTATCCTTTCATGATACCACAGCACTGATGTCAGGCAGCTGATAAGTTAATCCAATTAATCTCCAAAAGTAGTGGAGATAATAAACAAGACTCTGCATGACTTATAGGATGATTGTATAAAGAAGTCTTGGGTGGGACTCCAAGAGTTTCCATCATCTCATCTTCTTCACCTCTTTTAGAAACACTATTCTAGGGTTCCTATTCACAGCCCCAGAAAACCATTGACAATCAAGCCTCGTGTCATGCCCAAACTTTTCCCCACCCTTAAGTTTTACTTTCACACTTAAAATCTCTGAATATAACTGATGCCATGAAACTTTTTGTAGCCACATTTAGATTTCCTGCAACCTAATTTTTGGGAACCAAGCCCAAACTAACCTTTTCTACCTAGAAACCTCCTATCATATAAAATCCCAACCTAGCAAGTGTCCATGGCCAAAAACCGTCACACAATCAACTCATAGCCAGCCTCAGGCCTTGGTTTCTTAAGCTGTCCTATAGCAACAAGTTCACATCAAAAACGTAACTTAGTTTTTTTAGGATGACACCTATCCGAGGAGCCTATGGGTACCTAAGTATATCATACTCCCATAGCATTCCCAACACGATTCAATAATTTTCATATTCTACAGAAATTGAACTTAACTATGCTGTGATGCAAGACAGTTAATGCATTTTGAATCTTGCGTATATTTGTTCACTGAGTTGATTGAATAAATGTGCCTCATCTAGCAATATAGAGTGTAAGGAAAGGTCAATTTTGACCATAAACAAAAAAACATCAAAATGAAAACCATTACACACCCACAAACCCACACAAGCACAAACGTTGATACAAAATCGACCTGTGAGCAACAAACCTACCAACAACATGACTACTCCATTGTGAAGGGCTCAAAACCAAGTCTGACCCAGCAAATGGTGGAACGCCAGCTCCATTATTACCAGCAACCATTAAGCTAGGCCGATAAGACGGATCCATCTGCATCGTATTAAATATAAATCAAAAAATAATAATATGATGTACAATGTACCATTGCCCACCAATACCATAAATAATAACATCACATTAACTCAACGCAATTAACAAAAACAAATTCAATAGAAAAATTCTCTCTGCATCCTTGCCTCATCATTGCTAAGGGAAGTCTTGTATGGTTGCAGGATTGCACAGCAATTTGTATTATTTTGCTATTGTTATCATGGTTTTATTACATCGTTGCTCATATATCTTCAATAATTAAGCATGTCCAGTTCAACCCGTTTTGCTAGTAGCTATAATGGCTAGACCCGATTTCATATCATCAAACTCTACCTCGGCTCAACTCCACAAAGTTAAACATACATTAGTAGGTAAAAATAAGGTTATCCCTACATCAAGTAACATGGCAATGCAGGCTAGATATGCAAATTTGTGATTTAACAATAGAGTTAATAACAACTTGTGAAAAAAGATGAGAAATTCAATTCACCATTTCGGTCAACAAATTCAACAACATTGGGAGAGTAGTACGGAGAGAAGAAAAGAGATCTTCATATGGCTTTTATAGATTTAGAGATGTAGTCAATAACCTATGAGAGAAACAAAACTTCCCTTCACTTTACAAGGCAGCTGACACCATGCTATAGGTGGGCTTACTGACCACTCACACATAACGACAGTTATTCAACTGAAGTGTGATTGGCTAATTAGCCACCAGAACTCAAAGAGAAAATGCACACATGAATGAGCATAATTTCAATCAAATAGAAAAAGTGATGGCAAAGTAAAAAATATATATCAAAACTTCACATAAGTTAAATGGAACATTACAAAAATATTATCATAATAATAATTAAATAAATACCTACTACAAGACTACAGTATGAACATAAATTCCAGATGTACTCTCATAATCTTGTAATTTTTAGTTGACTTTGAAAAAGAAAAGCATAATTTCAATCAAAGAGAAAAAGTAATGATCAACATTACACGGACTCGGATGCGGGTATCGGGTGTGGGTATGTATCTAAGGGTCAGACACTTCAAAATTAAAAATTAAGGACACATGGATATGGATCCAAATTAGGATACGGGTACAGGGATACATTAAATAGTTATTTTTAAATTTATTTATTATATGAAGATAAGTTTAAAAAAGTTAAGGAATAACAAATTTTATTAAAAAAATAACAAATAAATAATAAATAAAAATTCTAAAAATTATTTTAGACATAAAATAAAGGGGAATTGACCCATAAATCCTAAAATGTGGAATTGTAATCTAATCAGTCCCATATTTAGTTTTGTACACCCAAAGGTCCCATTATTTGGGAGTGGACAGTTTTGCCCATGAATGTATTGTTTTTGATTTAGTGATATTGACTTTGTTTGGTTTGTATTTGAGAAACATGTTTTGAGATAAAAAATACGAAAATTTGTTTGGTTTGATTTTTTTTCAAAAGATGTTTTGAAAAATTATTTTGAGAGAGAGTTTTGAAAAAAGTGATTGATTTGATGTGTATGAGAGAGAGATTTGTTTGAAAAATTTATAAACCAAACAAGTTTTGCAAAAAAAAATTTGGGAAAATTTGTTTGGTTTGATTACTTTTGAAAACTTATTTGTAAAGAATTTTTCCTAAAATTTTTTGAGAAACACAAACCAAACAAGGCCATTATGTTTGATTGATGTGGGTGTATGTAACGTTTGGGAAAAGCTTACTATAGCTTTTTTAGGGTTTAGTAGTGTATGTAGGGGTGTCCACGTTTTTGATGACCCACACGGTGGTGGCCCACATCATTTTTTTAAGCCCACATTTGAAGACAACCCACATTTGTGGTGCAGCCCCGATCAGTTGTCCCCTCGGTCCTCTACGGCACTTTCGCAGCCCCTTCCTCTTCCCGACTTGGCCATGCTCCTCCGCCACGCCACCATCGAATCTCATGATTCGAATTCGATCCCCGTGAATGTTCCTCTTCCATCGCCCAAAGAACCGCCTTGCAGCAGATGTGGAGAGGAGAGAGAAAGAGCCGATGCTGCTGCTGTCACCACCCCCACCCCTACCTTTGTAAGTTCATTTGCTTCCCATGGCTTCCGAAAAAATAAGGAGCATGCTGACACTCAGCAATCTAGGATGATATGTAAACATCGGAAAATGATTGCGAACATTAGATTAAAAAACAAGGAGGACTCCTTAGATGGCAAACATTGAAAGTTGAAACATTAGATTGCGAACATTAGATTGCTAACATAGATTGCAAACATTAGTTTGGGATTTACGAACATTTCTGTGGGTTTGCGAACATTAGATTGCCATTGTTTTTTTGATCGTGAAATGTGGTTGCCGTCGCCCACATTTGAGTAAGCCACATTTGAAGCAAATCATCAACTGCACAGATTTAAGGCCCTGGAAGCAATTCAAACGTCGACAGTTTGCGAACATTAAATTGCTGCTGTTGTTATTGTTGTTTGGGGTTTGGGCAAGGTGCTTTGCCGTCGACCATACGAACCCAGCGTGGGAGACATTTCTGTGGGATTTGACATTTTGAAAGTTGGAACATTAGATTGCAAAAATTAGTTCGTGGTTTGCGAACATTTCTGTGGGTTTGCGAACATTAGATTGCCGTTGTTGTTATTGACATTTCTGTGGGGATGTATGTTGTGTTTTGTCTATGTACCTATGTTGGAGTAGTAACATGGGGTGGCATGGCGTTTGTTGTGTGTGGATGTGTATTGCAGCATGTGTGGTGGGTGAGTTTTTTCTTCTTTTTTTTTTGATGAATGTATGCAATGTTGGCATGCATGAATGTAAGTTGGAACTTTTGTGTTGGGGCATGCGTGAGAAAGGGTAAAAAGGTCATCAAATCCATTCCAAAATTAGCAAATGAGATCTTGCAGATCATATTACCAAAAAGAAAGGACTTCCCAGAGTATTAAAAAACAAGGAGGACTCCTTAGACTAAAACTCTCCCAAATGAGATTTTTCAATAATTTCCCCTAAAATAAATTATATTATATACCAAACCAAACCAAACGAAGCCTTAAGTCCCATCAAATGGGGGATGTCCTAAAAAAGTGCACTTTTTGACTTATTGGTGGGTTTGGGTTGGGTTTGATGTGATGTGTTAGAGAGGTGATGTGATTTAAATAAGATGATGTGACTTAAATAAGATAGTGACTTTTTGACTTTTGGCTTATTTAGTACATGCCAAACTAGCCCTAAAACTCTCCCAAATGAGATTTTTCAATAATTTCCCCTAAAATAAATTATATTATATATGATAAAATAAATTATTTCAATTTTAGTCATAAAAGTTATGTTATTTATATTATATAATTTTTTGGGGGTAAATAATATTGTATAATATGAATAATATTATATTAATATAGTTTATATTATATATAATTCAAATTATATTAAAAAGAAGAGACTAAGACTGAGACTGATCAAAAAAAAGAGAGAGAGAGACAGAGAAAGAGAAAGAGACAGAGAGAGAGAGAGAGAGAAAGATCAAATGAGAAGACGATCAACTTCGTAGATCAAGCTTCGTAGATCGATCAACTTTGCAAATAGATCAATCAAATCTGCAACCAAGTCAGATTGAAGTCGGCGACCAAGTTCTCTCCTTGCTCTCTCCTCTTTCGTTTCTTCTGCTGTATCCCCGTATCCCGGCTGTATCCCACACCCGTATCGTGTCGTGTCGTGTCAACACGGGTACCTCAGAAATTCCAAAGAGTCCGTGTAACGTAGGTGATGATGGCAAACTAAAGAAACATATATATCATCAGGTTACCAAAACTTCGCATAAGTCAAATGAAACATTACCATAATATAATAATAATAATTGAATAAATAACTAAAGCAACTTATACAAGACAACAGTATAAACAAAAATTCCAAATGTACTCCCATAATCTTATAATTTTCAGTCAACTTTTGTAGGTTCTGCGGTGTACCAGTTTAGAAGGTAAGTAAATTTTAACATAACTGAAGTTCAAATAACAAAACTTGTAGATTTAGTTAGTAGCCTAATGTGAAAATGTTGTCAATAACCTATGAGTGAAACTAAAGTTTCCCTTCACTCTACAAGGCAGCTGACACCATGTTGTAGGTGAGCTTACTGACCACTCACACATAACGACAGTCATTCAACTAAAGTGTGATTGGCTAATTAGCCACCGGAACTCTAAGAGAACATCCAGATCCATATGAAAGAGCAAGCATAATTTCAATCAAAGATTTATGACAAAGCAAAAATATATCACAAGGTTACCAAAACTTCATTATCTTACAAGACTACAGTATGAACATAAATTCCAAATGTACTCCCATAATCTTGTAATTTTGAGTTGACTTTTGCAGGTTATGCAATGTACCAGTTTAGAAAGAAAGTATATTATACCAAAACTAGTGTTCAAATCACAAAACTTGTGGATTTGGTTAGTAGCCTAAACATGAAAATGTAATCAATAACCTATGAGTGAAACTAAAGTTTATATTCACTCTACAAGGCAGCTGACACCATGATTGTAGGTGTGCTTACACTCACACATAATGGCAGTCATTTAACTAAAGTGTGATTGGCTAATTAGCCACCAGAACTCAAAGAGAACATGCACATCCATATAAAAAAGACCAGCACAATTTTAATCAAAGAGAAACAGTGATAACAGAGGAAAAAATTATCATGAGGTTACCAAAAAATTCCAGATATCTTGTAATTGAGTTGACTTTTGCAGATTATGCAGTGCACCAATTTAGAAGGAAAGTACATTTTAACAAAACTAGTGTTCAAATCACAAAACTTGAGGATTTAGCCCAAACATGAAAATGTAGTCAATAACCTATGAGTGTAACTGAAGGTTCCCTTCACTCTACAAGGCAGCTGACACCATGTTGTAGGTGAGTTTACTGACCACTCACACATAACAACAGTCATTCAACTAAAGTGTGATTGGCTAATTAGCCACCGTAACTTAAAGAGAACATGCACATCCATATGGAAAAGACGAGCATAATTTTAATCAAAGAGAACGAGTGATGACAAAGGAAAAAATATCATCAGGTTATCAAAACTTCACATCAGTCAAACAAAACATTACCAAAATATTATAATAATTATTACTAAATAACTAATAAAAGACTATATTATGAACATAAATTCCAAATGTACTCCCATAATCTTGTAATTGAGTTGACTTTTGCAGATTAGGAAGTGTACCAATTTAGAAGGAAAGTATATTTTAACAAAACTAGTGTTCAAATCACAAAACTTGAGGATTTAGTTAGTCGCCTAAACATGAAAATGTAGTCAATAACCTATGAGTGTAAATAAAGATTCCATTCACTCTACAAGGCAGCTGACGCCATGCTGTAGGTGGGCTTACTGACCACTCACACATAACAACAGTCATTCAACTAAAGTGTGATTGGCTAATTAGCCACCGGAACATAAAGAGAACATGCGCATTCATATGAAAAAGGCAAGCAAAATTTCAATCAAAGAGGAAAAAGTGATGACAATGGAAAAAAATATCACAAGGTTACCAAAACTTCACATAAGTCAAATGAAACATTTGCCTAATAAAATAACTAATACAAGACTTTAGTAGGAACATAAATTCAAGATGTACTCCCATAATCTTATAATTTTGAGTAGACTGTTGCAGTTTCTGCAGTCTACAGTACATACAGAAGGCAAGTACATTTTAATAAAACTAGTGTTCAAATCACAAAAGTTGTGCATTTAGTTAGTAGCCTAAAACATGAAACTAAGGTTGCTAAAATACTTCTTTAGGTGAGTTATGGATCATTCGCACATAAAGACGGGCATTCAACTGATGCATGTGTAGCTAGTTAGTTTGAGTGCGAAAAACCAACTGACTCTACACCCAACCCATAATAACAAATGACTTGCATAAACACACAATCACAAAACAATGCTTCATTTCAGTAAAAAGCAAATATATTTTGGCAATTTTTACCAATGAAATCTAGTCAACAGGGTTAACTTACTAACCATTCACACAAATGACGGTCATTGAGTGGGTAAAAATTAGTCACAAATGGCGGACATTCACACAAATGACTAACCATTCATACATCTAAAATAGTCACATTTTTTTTTAACCTTTTTGTCATCTTTTTTTTTTAAATCATGTCAAAACTCTTCTGTGTATACAATCTAAAAAGTAATTTTTTTCTTTTTTGATAAAATTCAAAAAAAAAAAAAAAGAAGAAGTAACTTTTTTATATTTTTCCGGTCAATCGAGTCGAGTATAACCCAAAGACTACAACTATCTCAAAAAAATTAAAAATTTCAGACCAAAAAAAAAACCCCAACAAAAAAGCCATCCAAAACACAAACTCAAACACCCACTAAGTCTGAATGCGATTGGCCAAATAAAAGTTACTACCCTAGAAGTGCTTTTGAATCTAGTGATTATTATGTAAACACGCCACA